GGGGGTGCGGGGTTTCGGGGCCCCGCTGGCCCCCGGGGGGCTGCAGCTGCCCCATTGCAGGCCGGGGCCCCCCAGGGCAGCCCCCCAGCATCACCCCCCCAAATTGGGTTGTCCAGAGCCCCACTACCACAATTTTGGTGAAAAGCAGCTCCTGGGGGCCTGCAAACCAGGGAGAGAGTGGGAGAGATGGGGATTTCCCCTCCCCACTCCTCTCTCCCTCTCCACCCAACATGGGGGGACACACACACGGTTGTTTTTAGGGGCGACCATGCAGGGAGGTGCTGGACACCCCATCTTGGTGCCGCTCGTGTTCAGCTCCGTTCCCCAACCCCTGGAAAAACAGAAGCCTTCAGGTCGTTATTCCCCTCCGCCGCCCCGGCAGCGGGGAGGTGACAGCCCGGGAGCAGAAGAGATAACGGGATATTTTCCGGCACCGCTTTCCCCAAGGACGAGAGCCAAAACAGCCGCCCGGAGCCCAAACAGCCCCAGCCGCCCCAAGGACGCGCGGAGCAGCTTTCCCAGCCGGGTTTTATACGGCAGCCGCGCTCCTGCCAGACCCAAAAGACGCTCCGGAGAAGTGGAGTTTTCCAATGTTTTATTGGTGTTTTGAGATTACAGAGTCTTTATTGCTGATCTAATACAATCACTCAGACATTAATATTTAAAACATCCTTTTGAAAATGTTACGTTTGCAAAGATTTCGTTTCCTCACTGCAGGCCGATGACAGGTTTTGTCTTCTTATTCCTAAAGTTCAGAACAGAATTAATTTCCTTATACAATTTTGCTGGTGTTACCTAAATCTCCTTTTTCCTAATTCTTTAAAAATCTGTTACATTAAAAAAAAAAACCAAAAACAACCCATTACACATTTAATTTAGAGATGATCACAGAATATGATTCCAGATTGATTAGGAAAAAGCCAAGCAAGCAAAAAAGCTTACAGAAGAAGCGGAACGACATGGAGAAGAGCTTTAAAAATCGAGGTGGGAAAAGCCAGTTGGGACTTTATTATTAATTTTTTTCTTTTTCTCCTATCTACCTGGAAGATAAAATGGGCTTAAAAATCGGCACGAAGGAGTTCACGGATGAGGACAGCACCACCGTATGCTGCACGAGCGACGGACACGGGGGAGATAAGCGACTGCGTGAGCTGTACCGAAGGGTCACGTGGATGGAGAGGGATTTTCCTGGGGGCAGAAGCGGCTGCGGTTGGGACACCCGTTTTCCAAAAGCTGCTTTGCTGGACGTGACCCCGCAACCGCGTTTCACCTCGACCGAGAGCAGGATTTCACGCTGCACATCTGCAGAGAACAACAGAACCTCTGGGGTTCGTTGGTTGATGCAGACCAAGGTACTCCAGCGTGGGGAAAGACCCGATCGTGACGTTTCAAATAGGTCAGGGGACTCTTCCCAAAAGTCTCTGGATCTGGACAAATTTCATGAGAGAGCAGAGATTATTTCATGTTTGTGGCTAGTGATCAGTCTATAATGAAGCCTTCTCAAGGCCCTAAGGCCTCCTCAAACACTCCTCAAAGTGTTCTCAAATCCCCAAGGTCTCCTCAAAGCCCTGAGGTCTCCTCAAAGTCTTCTCAAATCCCCAAGGTCTCCTCAAAGCCCTAAGGTCGCCTCAAAGTCTTCTCAAATCCCCAAGGTCTCCTCAAAGCCCTAAGGTCTTCTCAAAGTCTTCTCAAGGTCTTCTCAAAGTCTTCTCAAGGTCTTACCTCTAGGCTTTGAGAAATTTCAAAGAGAAACTTGGAATAAGCAAGCATACGAGAACGTTTGCTCGGAAGACGAGCGGCTTGTGGTCAAGCTGACTTCAGACCTCAGCATAACGAGGACTTGGCCGCTGAGACCATAATTCCACAGTTTTTCCTTTCTTGTGCGTGAACGAGCTGCCACAGAAGTTTTTTCATGATGGCGAAGAAGTCCATGAGGACAAAACAAGAATCTCTGGCTGATGAGGGACTCGGGTACCAAAGCAGCAACCGCAGGATAAAAGCTTTTGTGCTCACGGGGCCAGGCAATTTTAGTTTAGAAGGACCATGTTCTCCTTGTGAACCATAAAAGTGACTCTGATGGGACACAGAGACTTAGAAAGTCACCTTGGTAAACGTGCCACGCTGTCCGCAGCGTTCAGACGGGGCATCCTGGGCTAAAAAGAGTAATTATGGCAAATTTGTTCTCCGTTGGCTCTGTTGTATCAAGATTTGAGATGACTGAAGGGTTTTAGTGATGCTGAACTCTTCTCTGGGCACAGAATCGGTGTGGGGATTACTCCGGCGTACGTCTCATACACTCAAAGGGGATTTCCAGATTTTATCGTACAAATATTACTAGAAAATAAAACTCCAAAGATTTCCAATGAGGACTGAAATTCAGCTGGAGAAAGACCTCGCGTGGACAGGGGTCCTCCCAGCCGGGGTGGCCAGCGAGCTCTGCTTGGGTTTGGAAGAGCTCCGCAACACGTGAGCAGCATTTGTTGGCGAGGTTGCAAGGCTCTTCCACCGGCACGGGCACGCGAGGCTGCCCCGTAGCCCCACCGGGAACACGACTTTGGTTGAACTGTAGGAGGTTGGCACTCGTAACGTAAGCAGCAGGAAAATACTGCGGAACTGTGATGAAGGGCGCTGCGGCGGGGCCTCCCCCACCGCCCCCCACCACATCGGCCTCCGAGCCCTCCCGGCTCCTCCCGCGTGCTAGGGGCTAACCCCCGGCTGGCACTAACGACCAGACCCTTCGTTACAGCTTTCAGCAGTGCTAAGGCAAAGTTCACCGACTCGCTGGCGGAACCGTCCCTCGGGCAGTTCGGCGGAATTACGAGAGGTTTCTCCAGCGATCGCCGGCGAGATTTACCGCTTCGCTGCCGAGGCGGCACCCGGCTGGTCGGCAGTGCTGGAGTGAACAAGGTTTCTCGCTGCGCTGTCAAGCGGCATGAGAAACGCAAACCCGGCCGCCCCGCAGCCAGCACTCACGGCTGCCCGGGGTCCGCTCCCACGAGAAAAATGAAACAAATGGAAAGAAATCCACCGTCTCCCAGTCCCGCGGCAGTACAAACACCAGTGGCAGAGGCCGCATGTACAGTATTCTAATTTAATAAATAAATAACCTAAACACACTGTCTACTATGTGAGCAAGCCCGGCTCTAACTTAGGACGCTTGCGCTGTTTCATCCTGTACAGTAGTTGAGAAAAGACTTGGGTTCTTGTTCCTCGCGATTCTCCAGGACACAGCAGCAGGAACTTA